AATTACTGCGCACACAAATTCAGTTTTCACTGAGAATAACAAAACACACAAGCCAGTGACATATGATGAAGGTTTATGTTTTTGTAAAGACACAAGGAATACAATTAAAGTGAATGTACATGTTGCCCATAAAAGACTCACATTTTTGTGAATATAAAAGCTAAAAAATATTATCAAGGTGTACAAACAAACAAAAAATACAGTGATTCATATATTTGTTTTCCGCACCAAAAACTAAAAGAGTATTTTTACGCAACAAAATGTGCCAATAAAGACTTTTTCCCCAAGTGTGTTTTTTGAATCACATTTATCACATCAGACTCATCAGCTATAGGAAACACATACAGTATATTGAAATACAGACTAAGAGCGCCCACCTGTGTTAAAAAAATGTACTACACCCCCCCCCAAAAAAATCCCAAATTTGTATTTCTACTGCTCAGCTCTCTCAAAGCAGAAAACTTGTTCAATCATTTAACAACCTTTACAATATATTTCAATTTTTAAGAGCCAGTTTCAATTACGTTTTAATGAATATCTGTATATGGTTTGTATATAGATGGTATTATTTGTAGAATTACTTTACAAATAGATCTTAATCTTAAGTGTAACATCACCTACTGTGATCATTTTTACACTGCAGCCTACAACTAACTTAACATTTCCCTGAGTGCAGTTGTGCATTATTAGTGTAACAGCATTTTCTTCACCATAACAAACTGGTAAAAACTACTTTAATCTAATTATTTTGTGTTAGTGTTATTCATTCTTGTTACAGAGATTTAATGCAACACATTGCTTCAATGATAGGTCACTGTGAAAAATGAAATTAATTTTAAAAAACTGCAAAGAAAATCTGAGTTCTTGTTTTTGAGGCGTGTTCAAGGAGATAAATGTCAGACGTATATGAAATGGATGAAATATTTCATCAAAGTTGAAAACATTTTAATGTATCTGCAAAGTAAAAATCTAGTCGACCTTTAAATATTTCACTTTACAGTAACTCTAAGAAACTTACTACGAAAACACTGTTTCATTTTATTTCAAATGTCTGTTTTTCCAAAATATAATGTAATGCTTAAATGAATAAAGTAATATGACTACAAACTGCAACACAAGGTCAGTAAACTAAATCCACAACCATTTTGCATGTTAATTAATTTAACAGTAATTTAACAGCTAAGCAGAATTTGTGATACTGCTGAAGCTTGCACATGTGATGCTATTGTGACGCTGTATTTCCATGGGAAATATATAAATGTGTATAAATATAAAACAGTACTTTCATCTGCCTCCACACACAGTCTGACAAGTCCAAGTTTTAAGAAAGGACTCCAGAGGTGGTGACACGTGTTTCAGAGGGAAAAAGAAAATACAGAATAAGATGCAGGAAAACAGAAAACAATAATAGTGGTATTTACCCGTCTTGCACAAAATCATAATTTATATTTATGAAAAAAAAAAAGTTTTTTTATGAATGTGATACAAAGTCCTGGAGCCCTGCATCCATTATACTTGCAAACAGCCTCCTTCCATGTTGATTGTTCCTGTTGGATTAAGCACGGCTGTCTGGGCCGTCAGCTTCCTCCTCAGCAGCAGGTTCAACCAGACGGTCGAATGAGAACACCAGCATAACCTGCGTTTCAAATATTAGATCAGAACTTTACAAAACAATACAAAATGTGACAAGCTGTATTTTTAATTCCACAAGTTTTGGCAGATTGAAGGTTTATTTCTTCTTTAACTTTTTTATTTAATAAATAAACATAAAGAGCAGGAGAAACTGAGGAAATTCAGAAAATAAATACTCAAATCACAATTTTTGTACAAACATTCAGTCAGCTGCAACAGCCTCAAACTCTTTTTATAATTCATACACAAACACAAAGCTACGTAATATTAATACAAAGCCTTTTTCTATCAATTTGTGAAGTGAATCCTCAAAACTGAAATACTCTGGGTTCCTGTTGGACTCAATTTAGTAGAAAGAGGTGAACTCCTTTAACCAGTCCAGCTTTTCTTATTTCTCAGTGATAGTGGAAGCATTTGGTTGTCGGGCTGTGGTTCGCTCTCACAGTTAATTACAAGCTTTATAAGCATTTTGTTATGCTTGTTTGTTCCCTAATCCGAGAGGAGCTGCTGGCTATAAAATGTCAACCCGCATCTCCTGTTACTAACTTCAAGCCCTTTGCTGTGGTTTTGTTTCTTATTTGTTCCAATTAGAGTCTCAGTCATTTTCTGCTCTGAAAAGGAACGAGATGCACGTTTCCACAGATTATGGAGCTCGATTTTAACCAACATAGTGCACATGGGCAATGAGGGCAAATCAATGAGCACTGGGAATTTTTATTTATATGAGCCCATAAACAAAAGAGTCGGGCGAAAAGAGGTTGCCATGATAAATCATGATCTCAGCGAGTCACATCATTTGTACCTATTAAATGAAAATGAATGAATCTACTGGAGAACAGAATTAAGGCAAATTAATTATCTTTGTATGTTAAATTTATATTTGTGGAAATAATCAGGGTTTTCAGGCATCTTATAATCCTTATGAGTAACTCTGTAGTTTATCTGTTTCTGAATAACTGATGTGGCCGGGTATCATTTGAAAGATATTGGTGTCTTCGATACCTGTTTTTTTATACTTTTTTATCAATACTTTATTTTGAGGAATATCATTTTTTCCCTTCATGAAGTAAACTTTGGTTTTATAAGATAAAAAAGGGTTTTGATAATTATCAGGAAATACAAAATATAAGAATCTGAACATGCATTAGAATTTGTTCACAAAAACTGAGAGGGGAGATTAATTCCTTTTACAATTACATGGTTTCAAATATTGGAAATTCCCCCAAAACAGTAACAACCATAGTTCTTCACAGACACACTGACTCTCTCCATCTCATTTACGTTCACTCACCGTCAGCAGCACCAGCAGTGCCATCATCACCCCCATCATGATATAAATGTTCTCAGTGAGGCCACCAGCCCACAGAGGGCCCAGGATGGTGGCTAGACCTCCGACTGAGCGACGCACTCCCTGACTGAAACCTGCAACGACCACACGAGACACAAATACTCACATACTGTACACACACTGATGACACACACACACACACTAAAAACACAATGTATGGAACTTTTTACAGTTATGTGTTGAAAAGTGCAGTCAGTGTCCAGTAAGCAATAAAAAAAGTAGATAGCGCTGTTTCTCACCTTGTGTTTTCTCACAAGTGACTTTGGAGAAGAGGGAAACCTGGGCCACAGCTACAAATGGCAAACCCAACACCTGCAGAAACACCCCGACGATGAACTCAGTCAGCGGCCAAGGAAAACCACCTACAGAAAACAAGAAAGATGGTTTATTAAGTATAATACATGCTCAACTGGGGTGAGTTTGATCTATTCAGTCTATGGTGTACCCAGATTTACAGGTATTAAATACTTATAAGTCTGTACACCATTTACTGCTGCTAAAGATTTGGATGCCCAACAACTACGCTGTGTTTGTGCAAATTCTGTGGCTTCTGACCTATCGGGTTCGCCAGGAAGATGAGGCACCAGACACCAGAGACATTGCAGATGGCCAAACCCACGGCCAGGACCACCCGCTCACCGACACGCCGGCTCAGCCAGCGCACAAAGAAGAAGCCAGCGATCACCTCCACGCCACACAGACAGTACATCACGCTGTTCTCCAGCTCCCCGTAGCCAAAGTACTTCTGAGTCAGTGGAGTCACCATCGTCTGAGGACGCAATGGTGAACACGTCAATGTCAATTTGAACTCAGTCCAGCACAGATCCTATTGTTTTATTTCAATGAGTCAATATCTCAAAAAAATGGGAGATTTCTGAACGAGAATAGAAAAGTGAACTCTGTCCACAGAAATATGAGGGAACATAAATGAGTTTTATCTGTGTGTGTGTGTGTGTGTGTGTGTGTGTGTGTGTGTGTGTGTGTGTGTGTGTGTGTGTGTGTGTCTTTACTGCACCTCCAGTGCTGTCTGATTGAAGAGGGTGATGAACTGAGCAGCCAACAGCACAACCACCTCTTCTCTCAGGAACTCTGCAGAGACACGAAGAGAGATTGACAGAGGGAAATAGAGAAGAGTTAGAGACCAAGCACAAAGTCAGAGCTAAGAGAGAGAACATGGATGAATTATGTTTGGTGCAAGGTGCAAGGTAAATTATACAGTAGAGCCCGAACGATATGGATTTTTGAGATAGTGGAATTAGGGAGTAAAAGATTTTCAATACCAATAAAAAAATCTGATCAATTATAATGTTTAAACATGAACTTTATTATAAATAATTATAAATTAAAAAAGAAAACTAACACACAAAGAAATGTATAGATATGAATTTAAAATGAAATTACATTAATTGAAACATAAATTCACATTTGTTTATTCTGTAAAATCAGTTTTAATTTCAGTAAACATTAATGCTGACTATTCCATGTGTTCAAATCAGTTGGGCTCCATCTACTGGTAGAGTCACATACTTACACACCATATCAATCTAATAATTCCAGAAATCTCACATAACCCGCGAACCGTTCATTTTATCGCCTTCACGCTTGGCAGGTGTATTGTTCAGGGCCCAAGGAAGAGCAGTTGCGAATTTGGTGTGATTTGGACACATGAACTTCGAATAAATAGGTGAAAAGCTCTTTGTGCTGCAGCATTGGAGAGACTTCAGGGTTCTGTGGACTTCAGATCAATTAGTGCAGATCACTTTTAGAGTTTCAGAAAGAAAAGCTGCAACCAGCCCAAATTGGATTGATCCTCTCAGAGGGAAATGTGCATTTATTTATTTAACGTTCTATGAACTGGCAGGATACCAAACCCAAATCTAGACAGATACAGATACAGTCACACCGTCACCCACCTCGAGACATACTGAAATCCTTGAAGGGGCTGGAGGACTCTCGGATCTCTGGTGGCGGTGGTGAGGGAGGAGGGGAGATTTGATTCAGCGAGGAGTTGGAGGCAGCAGAGAAGTCGTTCCTCTTGTCGTTGGGTGTCACCACTGAGCCGTATGACCCCACCAGCTCCTGGGACGCCATTAGGGGCTTTCCCTCATCGTTGTCCTCTTCCTTGTCTTCCACGAGCTCTGGCTCGCTGTCCTCGTCCCGGCTCTTGCTTGTCGAACTCTCCTGTACTTTCTTTCTCTCCAGAGGTGGCAGGTCCCAGTACATGAAGGCCACCACCAGCTGAAGGAGGATCCACATCAAGCACATGAACAGCTGCAGGAGGGGAGTGTGAGTGTTAGCTCTTCTGTGGCCAGGGAAAACAAAGTGCCATGAAGGTCAAACTAGTATATTTTGTTCCTTACCCCTGGTGAAGTGTATTTATTAACTACAAAAGGGCCCAGTTGGAAATTACACAACCTCAGGAAGATGTTAAATGCTGGACCTGCATCAACGGCAAAAATAAATAGACAGGCTATTAGGATGCTGATATTTTATGCGTAAAGAAGAATGCAAATCCAATCCAATATACATCATAACAAATGATCAGCAGGGAGACTTTTGTATGTGCCATTAGAGAGCAGAGGAGCACTGACCAATCAGAAGGCCGGCCTGTCGACATGCCATAACAGCAGCAAATACTGTGGCCCGGTCGTCTGGAGCCGTGCTCCTGGTCAGGAAGCCAAAGATAGATGAGCCAGCACCCGTGCCGATGCCTGAAGAAAAGAAAAAATGTTTCAGCTCTGAAACATATAGATTGAAAAACTGGAGCTCTTTGTATGAGAGTATCTTTAAAACTACACAAGAGCAGCTAAATGTAATTCCAGATAACAAGGCCCTTTTCATGAGGTCTTATTTTCCTATGATGTTGGATGTAAAGGATTAATAAGAGGGTGTCATGGTGGCACAGTGGTTAGTCCTGTCACCTCAGCAAGAAGGTTCCAGATTCGAACTCGGTTTGGCCTGAGCCCGTCTGTGAATTTGCATATTCAGTTTGGGTTTTCTCCAGGTACACCGACTTCCTCGCACAGTCCAACCACATGCAGTTAGGGATAAATTGGACTGGCTCCAGTGCCCAACAACCAGTATTTATCATTTATAAAAACAGGTTAGAACAAGAATCAAACTTGGCAACAGCCTAACTAACAATTTCAAATCTGTCTTTTCAGACTGGAGGATGGACACAAGAGTCGGGCAGTAGACTCACCTGCTACCAATCTGCTGGACAGTAAGAGCCACTTGGAGTAGCCCATGAAGTACATGAAATTACCTGGAGAGGGAAAATAAGTGGAAAAATAAGGTCAATGGTCAGTCACATAATATCGAAATAGGTCCTTCAAATGAAGTTTGATAGGGGATGGGTCAAGTGCATGCTTTGTTTTGAACCCTGAGGACAAACTGAGCGTTAACTACAACTGTGGAGGTGTCAGTAAAGAAAGGACGCACCGATTATCTCAAAGAGGTTAGCGAACAAGATGATCTTCTTGGTGGTTTGTGTTCTGTCGGACAAGTGGCCGAACAGCGGCCCCGACAGGAGGCCACTCAGGCTGAAAGCGGACAGGGCCAAACCCAGGAAGTAAGGTGGTGCATCTAGAGTCTGCAGGTACCTCCATATTGTGGGCAGAATCACAGCTGAGGAGACAGAAGAGAGGGACACTTTCTTTCAAAATGTTGTTTTTAGCAATATTTGCTTGGAAGTCAACAAAAGATTTAAAAAAAAGAATCATGGTAATCATAAATCTTTGACTCGTCCGGCCACTAACACTGTTTCAGAAGTTTTTTTTCTTCTTCCCAAACCAGCTCCATGTCTGTATGGAGACTGTGCTGCTCCTCCATTATTAACAGCCACCACCTGGTTGCTTTCTTGCTGTAGAAACAAATCCTAACCAATGTTGTTACTTGTTCTCACCATTCAGACAATACAACTCCCTGTCGTGCAGTGTTGTCCTAAATGCATTAGCAGTAACAGTTTGTTCAAACACTGCAGGAAAGCTGTTACTCAACTCATTTTCTTAGTCCCTGAGGCTTGATTCCTGTTCAGCAGTCGAGGCTCCCACTAACTTTTTACATAACGTTTCACGTTATGTATGGGCGCCTCTTCCTTTCTTCTTTGTATTTTGTAAGGTTTTTCACTGCATTTGCTCAAAATAGAAATACGGAGGTGTTCAAATGTTCAACTTTTGTATGTTCAACTAAGTATGAGCACTTGTGTTGTCTTATGTCTTGAATGAAAACCTAAAAATAAGGTGAGATGAGGGTGAAACAAGACAGATGATGATGTCTGTCTGAAATCGTCAATATCAATATCATCTGCCTGAACACACTGCGTTGTTCAACTCAAGCTGCAGTCGTAGCATTTCCGTCGATGCTTCCAGCCTTGGCAACATAGAGACAAAGACTAGTGCTGATCCAGTACAATGCTAATCAAATTTGTGGGTCAGATCACACACAATACAGTATGATATGCAAAAATTCCAGAGAGGAAATAAGTGCACAAATGTTCTTGTTGTCCGAGGGTTGGCCACAGTTGGACTCTTGCTTCTCTGTCACATGTTTCAGGACATGATATCTACAGTGAGGGAGCAGAGAAATGTAGAAACCCCTGTGTATTGCAATATAATCAAGTACAACACTTCTTCAAATAATACAGTTCCTCTTAATATTATTGAGAATTTAATTGGTGCTTGACCAAACTCTTTGCAAAAGGGATGTGGGGCTGTTCAATGGGACTTGATTACATCATAACCCATTTCCTGAGGATGTGCTAATCCATACAGTCTGTTAGTCAGAAACATCTTTCAAAATAAAGCCTCAACATATTCACTCCAGTCAAACACAAATAAAGTTGTAGTTTCAACTATAAATAACGTGCTGTGCTATAAGCAGCATCTATATCAGGAGTAATTCATTTCTTAATTTATTCTATAACATATTGCAAACCTGATATTAGCCTCTGGGATTAATAAAGTATTTCTGATTAAAGGAAGTCTCCCAGAGCAGGATCCAGGTGAGGACACTGCACACTGTGACTGCTTTGTTGTGTTTCTGATCTTCAGTCACACAAATTACACAAGAGACTAAAACTCAAACTGGATTTACAGCAGTAAACAATGTGAGTGTGTGTGGGAGAGGTTTTAAACAGCCTGATCATATAGACTCACATATGTCTGTTCTAAAACTTTATCCAGAGACAAAACATCCCCATGGACTCAAAGTGTGTCAGTGAGATGAGACATTGATCTCCACCACTTGTCAAACACTATGTCTTCATCTGCAGCCTGACAGAGAGTAAAACCCTACCATACTCCACACCGCTCAGCAGAAACATCAGCCCTATGCTGCAGAACGTCAGCTTCTTTTTCCGTCGATCGTCCATCTGCTGCTACAAAGTGTCCGAGCTGCGTCTGAGCTCGATCATCCTCTGGACACGCGAGTAATGCTCAGTGCGCTGCTTCCAATTAGAGCCCGGGGAGAGGACTGCTGCCGGAGACATGCTCCACACAGGGGACGGTGTTGTCCTGATCGTCCACACCAGAAGGGACCAGGCCCGGCGGAAGTTTGTGTCTGTGACGCGCAGCAGGGAGAGATTTAAAAGGTGCAAGAACCGGAGGAACCGGCGACCAACCGCAACGCACGGTGGCGTGATCCTGCGCACTTCACTCCAGCTACATCACTTCCGGTAGAGTCCACACGCAACCTGACCCACTGCGAGGACTGAGCCTGGATTAGTTTCCTCTCTTTCCCGTCTTTCCCCATTGTATGGATATAGATACATATATAAATAAAGTACATGTATGTAGTTTATGTGATTCACATACTGATTTCTCTGTATATATATATATATATGTTTTTTTAAAGCCTCATGACATCTAATGGTCACTCTTTTGCTCATTTCTGCCGAATCATTTGTTTATAAGTGCATTCACCAGTTATATTGATACATATAAATACATTATTTAATGAAAAAAATGAATTATGAATCATAACACTAAAAAAACATGAAAATAAAATCCACATCAGAAAGTGCTTTACAAAGACAGCATGATAAAAAACTGACTTTTCATAAAATCATTAGTTTTACAGTTTGAGAGGAGGAGCTTTTTCAACGTTATTCATTCTCTGTATATATGTTTTATTTAAATCTTATGGCCTATACTACAGGAGGGAAATAAAATCTAATGGTCAATCTTTTGCTCGTTTCACTTGAGGTCACTTCAAACACATACATATATACATATACATATATATATATATATATATATACACACACATATACACATATACATATATATATATATTGAAGTGACCCTGGCGGGTGTTATCATGACATTATCCGATAGATAATCTAAACACTGTTGTTCTTTTTTCCTGAGCTTATTCTGCAGAACCACTACATTCAAATGTATCAGGTGCCTGTGTGAGTCACTGGCAGTGTGTTCCTCTCCGTCCTGTGACAACCATTACCACTGACACTGAGGAGCCTGTGTCGCGCACACACAAGCTGCCTATTCTCCCATAATTCAATTTCAATTTCCTGAGTGTCCACACTTTAGTTTGCTGCCTTCCAAGCAGATATAGAACTGTTGACTGTGGCATCCTGGTGAATAATGTCCCAACTGTGAGCTGGGAGCAAATTAATTTGATTTCCCAAAAATACTTGTCAGAGCTTCAAGTCAACATCTCAAGTTCAAATTGTTTCAGTGCTCAGAGCTTTGGTCTGAGGATTGTTCACGAATGCAAAGCACTGAGCTGAATGTTAAATAGGTGGAATAATATGTAGTAGGACCCATGGTCCTTCACCTTGTACATATTGTCAACTGTTCCATTGTAGAAGAAAATACTTTCTGTTTTATTTATTTATCGAGATTTTCTTTACTCATCCAGATCATGTTCCAGCGTTTCTACATGATATCAAGCTCGTGTTGAGACAATAATTAACAGATTCCTGCTCTGGAGCTACTTTCACAGGAAGATGACCTTCATAAAGCTTTCTTACATGTAAATATAATTGTGGAACACATTTGTTGTATTCACATTTTGCTGTCATTCAGATCTTTTAATTAACCCTAAACACAACTGCATGTGCAGCACAATATAAAATAACTATCTTCTAACTCCATAAAACTTTTCTAGCTGTCATGCTCATCAGAACTGTATTTAGTACAAATTTCAAAATATTACATTAATTTGCTTTGGCTCAGGGGGTGAAGTGGGTCATCTACTAACCACACATTCAGTGGTTCAACCCCAAGCTCCTCAAGTCTGCATTCCAAGGTGTCCTTGGGAGAAACACAGAACTCTAACTTGTCCCTTCTGGATAATATCCACTGCACTCTGAGCTGAGATCTAGTGAGCACCATCTTCTACAGCCCTCTTTACTTAACAATTTTTGATAAATGTTACTCAAGTATGCATTATGATAATTAAACATTAATCATGGTTCTGTTCAGATATGGTTGGAATAAGACAAAAAAATGATCCATGGTGACTGATCGTCAAGAATCACTTTGTATAAAAGAAATCTTTATTTACAAGTTGCCAGCAGATGGAGGTTGCATTACTCTTTAAGTGTCACAGTCTTTAGTCTGTCATCCATCTCCTTGGAGGAAACATTTCTTATCTATGAGAATAAAAAAACATTTTCTAGAGCCTCCATGTGTTCTGTCGGCGACCTCCTCTCGGAGACGGCCGTGTGCTTCAGACTCAGGACTATTAATGTTTTCAGTCTGCAGCTCAGACTTTAAGGTTGACTGTGGTGGTGGGAGGACCGGGGGTTAAGTGGGTGAGAAGAGTTGGGTTTTAGAAGGCCAGTTTCTTCATGAGCAGGTAAACCCTGGAGTCCACCTCAAAGCCGTGAAGGTTGTTGGCATCTCCCTGCAGCCTCATGAGAAGGCCACCGTACGACACGTAGGCCGATCTGAAAGAAGGAGCATGTCCACGGATTAAAATGACAGATATATCATTATTCCGAGAGGTTATATGTGCATCATACAAGTAAGAAATAGGATCATAATTGCTGTAGTTCTTTCTACAGGAAAATAAATAAATTCACAGGCTTTTATTAGTGCATATGAAAATGGAAAAAATTTGTTGTTTGCATTTTAAATGTACAGTATTTTAGTTTAATAAAAACATGTTACTGTAGGAAGGTGTAGTTATGTATATGCACATCACTCTGTAGAGGGTGCCAAACTGCTTATTATCAAATAAGGGCAAGTAACTCTTCCCATAAAAATAATAAATAAAAATGGCAGATACTTAATCACATAAATGCTAAATTCATGAGTCAATCACTGCTAATTGTTATTATAATTATACTAATGGTATTTCTGGCTACTCTATAAACAGTATAGTATCACTCACAGACGTGTTGCTGCTTCTGTTGAGGTCTCGTCGCCTTCAATCTTGTAAACCTTCCCGTACATCACATAATCAAACTGGTCCGCTCTGCAAAATTAAACAAAGAGAAACCAGAGCTTAATAATAAATTAGGCCAAAGAATCTGCACACATCAGGGGGGGTGATAGACTTAGCGTGCTAACACAAATGTTATTGGATCATGTACATTTTCATAAAACATGTGACGGCACCAACATATGAGAAGTAGGTGTGGTACCTGGACGGCCGGTCATCCTGAGGATTATACTCGCCATCATCTGGGGTTCCATCTTCATATAATGTACTGGCAATAACCAGTCGGAACTTATCACCTTAATGAAATGGAAACAAATGACTGGGTTAATATATCATTATGATGCATTATTATTTAATGATTCTCTCATAGCTTTAGGTTTTATTAGTTTACTTTGGTTGGAATAAGAATATTACACAGCTTGCTTGAAGGAATGCCAGAAATCAAATGTTGTGGGGCCCAGATAGAATACCCAAAAGACTGATGTGATCTACCAGCTGGCTTTACTTTATAAAATGCAAATACATTCAGATGGTATACAGTATAGAAAATATGTGATTTGTCTCTTTGTTGTGGTCATAAATTGGAAAAAGGCTAGATTTACATTATATCCACTAAATGAACTATTGAATGGCTTCAAGTCCTCAACTTCAACGTAAAGAACAAAAGTTTTCCTTCTTACCAAGATCAACAGGATAGATCTGAATGTTCACATCCAAGATGAGGTCCATCTTGAAGGATTCACTTTCACAATGAAGACGAGACACTGTAGTAAATGTAAACCACCATGGCAGAGTATAAATTACTTCATAAGAAAGAAGCTTGATCTACAGAGAAAGATTCAAATATAGATAACTGCAGCTGCATCAATGAAAGAGTAAACAATATCAGCATTAAAATTGTGTCATTAGAACCTGATTAAAGTCAGTTCAGTATTCACTCCCCTTGTTTCTATTTGAAATGAATCATTTCACACACCTCTGTCAAACTTCTTGCCATCTGGGTCGATGTCTTTTACGTCAAAGATGTCCTCAAACAGAATCCCAGCCATCTCTGTTACAGTCTATGAACTGGGAAAGAAAAAGGAAAAAAATATCCAATTATGATATTTTTGTTAAGATAATAAGAAATGAAATGAGAACATGACGAGCTTCGGAAACATTTAACTTCAAGTGCTACAATTTTAATCTTGTGGTGGAGACTGTGATTTTACAAAGATTAAAAAGAAAGTACTATAAACATATTATAAACTGTATACATCTATGATTGCAAAATAAATAGAATATAAAAGTAAACAGGTTTCATTATAGTGCTGTGATTGACAACTTACACACGAAAGATCCTCTCATGCTACATAAATACACAATTATTACCAAAACAAAACGATATGTGGACTTAGCATTGAATATGTATAAGTCACTCTATCGAAGGCATGTGTCTGAATAGTCGAACAGTACAGCAAATGTATTTATTTCATCCACAAAACCTTGGACAATTTATAGTAATTTCCTAAACCAGACTTTAACTATCACTAGAAAACATTTGTCCCGTTTATTCTGCAGCCAGTTAACAAACCAAAGACTGAATGAGATGAAGCTACTTTAAAACAGAAGCTGTTCACTCCCACTGACGAACAACATGAGCACAGACACATTCACACGTGTCGGTTAACACAAACGAACACACAGAGTCAGTGCTTGTGATTCTCCGAGTTTATCATAAAGATGTGTTGTTCTGTCCCCTGGTCAGTGTCTGCAGCTCAGGCTAGCTGTTAGCTTTAGCATGTTGTCCCCTCACTTCCTGGAACTCACCTGGAAAAAGACTGTGATATTTACGCCTCACACACAAACACACGTCGCAGTCGGTCGATGGCTCGTTGTTGTTGCGATGCTAGAAAACTTATTGGACTTGATTTTCATTCATTACAACGTGAACCGCGCGGTGCCGCGCAGAAACAATGTGCGCGACCTGTGACGTGAAACTGCTTCCGGGTGAATGTGACGCTGGTTTCTAAAGATCGCGCCAGTGCTGCTGAATATTATTTATATGATTGAATTGATTATATGATGAATTGTTATCATATAATCCACAACACGAGACATATAGTGAACGATGGTAAATGTTGAGTCATATCAATGCTGAGCGCTGGAAAACCATCGTTACCTTTATACTAAACCAATAAACAATGAAGGGACAAGTTACCTGAAGGTTCGTGCAACTTTTATACAAACATCATAAATCCATCTTGTTGGTTTAAACACGTGGAAACAAACAAGCTTCAACGGCGTTGTCAGTATTTACGACACCCGCCTCTACTTTCCGGCAGCCATTCCCCCCGGTTGTTTGGTTGCTAGGTGTTCTAGCGTCCTGTCTGTGTACGGTTGCTAGCTAAAGGCTAGCGGCTAACATTCGGTGTCAGTGGAGCCCGTAAAGCTGGACGAAAATGGAGTGTGTGTGTCTCAGTGACGAATGAACGGGATGTAAATCGTTATCGAGAAGTTAAAGACGAGGGATTGAGGTGAGGATGAGATTTATATTTAATATTAACGCAAGGTAACGTATCTATCGCATTAGCTTGTATGCAAGTAGCTACTAGCATGCTATTACCCCTTAGGTCGATGTTATTACGAAAGTTGATCGTTAGAGATAATGTGAACGTTCAAAAACGGAAGAAATACGAGGTCTGTGTTGTGTGTATTAATGCTGCATTAAGACCTTTGTGTTTCCGCTTTACCCGAGTTTTAATCTGTGGAACACAAAGTCTCATGATTAGTGTCAACAGATGTGCTTGGATGGATGGATCGATCCCAAATTGGGAAATGATTGTGTTACAGCAGAATGTCAAGGGCATGGCACACAGAGGGAAGAACAAGAGACAACAAAAGAGACAAGCGTGCTAAATTGCAGTAGTTAGAAGTTAGAAACATGACTAAAATAAATAAATATGAATATAAGATGTGCAATCAGAGAGTTTTGGTGTGGACAGATACCACACGCTCATGGTTTTGAGGGTTCACCTCAGAACAAAAAGGTGAGAAGTTGTACAGTCAAGTTTGTAATGAACCCCATTGTGTGCTACAGTCTCTAACTTGACTGCTGTCCTCTTCCTCGCAGGCTGTGCAGGACGCTCACTGGAGGCACACATGTCATTTCATGAGAGCAGCTGTGTTTTCTGTGAGTCTGTGTTTTAAGGTTCTGAGCTCTCACATGAATTCACAGGAGGAAGCCAAGATGGGGGATATCTTGGCAACTGAAGCAGATCTTCTTGGGATGATCAAGGAGGTAAAAAAAATAAAACAAAAAAACAGTATGAAAACTCCAGGAGTAATGACAGACCAGAGTGAGCATCAACAGACATACAATTCTACAAGATGCACACATTTTCTTCTAAGGTTCATTGTGTGAATTTAGTGACATCAAGTGGTGAAGTGGCAGCTGAATACCCCTCACCTCACTCTCCCCTTCCAACCATGAAAGAGAACCTGTGGCAGCCTTCAGTTGTCATAAAAACTCAAAATGTGTTTAGTTTGTCCAGTTTGGACGCTGTCAATGTTAACATAAAGGGCCCATTCTAGGGAAAAGAAAACAACAACTTATACAATTTAGAGCATCACACACTGAAGAAAACATAACTATGATCATTTTATATTCAATTTCTGCCAATAGATCCCTTTCACCTAAATCTTACACACCGGACCTTTACTCAGGATGTGGATATAGAAAGAGTACAGTTGTGCAGCTTGTTTAATTTGTATGATTTGAAACCGAGCTCTGGTCTGCACTGGTTAAATACGAGTTCATGTTGGGCTTGTTTTGTGTTTTGTTTTTTTTCTAGTACCTTAAGTTTGAGGAGTTTGAAGAGACTATTCACAGTTTCGACAAGGACTGCAAAAGCAAAGGAAAGCTCGTCTCCAAGCCTCAAGGACGCACTCTCAGAGACTCAAAGACTCGTGCATTTCAGGTAAATGATTCAATTCTCAGAACCTGTTGTTTCCTCTGGTTGGTCGATTATTTGTGGAGTTGAATATTAAAGCAGGAAGAGTGTTGAAAATGTGTCCCCGCACTGCTAATTATTAACAAGCAGGTGATTAAACTGATAAATATTATCCTATGTTTTTGATCAGTTTTATTAAACTCAGGAGCAAATCATTTTTCTGAAGTTCTTTTTTGGTAATTGTATGTTTCATCGTTCACATCCATAAATATTGGGCTTTTTTTTAGTCCTCAATTTATTGTAAATAAAATAAACAAAACAAAGCAACATTTTCTTGCTGATGGAGGAGCTGTGTTGTTTTTTCTCTCAACCCATTCCTTTTCTTAACTCTGGCTTTTCTAGAAAGACCTCCTTTGCTCGTTTGATGATGGAGATCATAAAGTCTTCTTTGAACTGTGGACTGAGAACATTCCCTCTGAGGTGAAAGACACAGATGCTGAAGCCCTGAGTCTGGAGTTCTACCTTCACATCCATTTCGCCATCTACCCACTGAGGAGGCACCCTGGTCGACATGTATGTAGAGCCAATCTTTCTGTCTAAATGATTTTGTAACAAGTTAAAATTATTTTGGATTAGATTATCTGACAAAATGTAACTGCTCTGTAGCTACATGTGCAGTTTTCACAGTGTCCACTAAGCTGCGCTGCAGGCTTCTCTGTATGTTCTTTCTAATGTTGTTGCACTAGTAAGTAATGATCTGTACCACTGTCATATGCCTTTCATTGTGTAGTCAGCAGCTTCTTTGCTTTTTGATGGTGGCAGATAAAGTGAGATAATCATACTTGAAGAGAAGCATTACCGACATTTTGTTGGGCAACATGAAATAAATCCATACATTTTGTCTCCAGGACAGAACCGAGTTTGATAAGAGGATTTCCAACTTCAAACAGTATCTGGAGACTCGAGGAGCAGCACTGAGTCAGACCACAGAGTTTCTGCCTTACTATGCCTTGCCCTTCGTTCCAAACCCCACCATCCACCCGTCCTTCAAATATCTTTTCCAGGTGAGCAGTTGATTATGAAACATTAGATTAGATTAGATGAACTTTATTGATCCCAGTTGGGAAATGGTTGTGTCACAGCAGCAGTTCAACATTCACAGAGAGTAAGACACAAAAGACAAGGTGCAAAATTGCAGTAGTTGACATGATTATCTAGTTATTGCCAGTTAGTTTTTACACTTGCAACATTCCTGCTCAGGGAATGATCATAACTTTCATTTTATTTAGGATTCCTGGATACCACATTTGAAGGATAAGTTGGAGCGATTTCTGACAGTGACACTGAAGCCATCCATCATCCCAAGGTTGCTGAATTTATATGTATCCTTTATTGTCACTGCTGAGAAACTCATCAGATTAAGATGGGTGACTTCATATTTATGTTCCTAGACAAAGTAACACAATCATTCTGCTTCAGTGTCTTTGTTGCTTTCAATGACATGATATGAATTGCAGTTTTGGAAATGTAGCAGTTTCCAAACCTCTCTTTATAACTAATGACTTAAACTTTCACCACAGCTTAATAGTTAGTGAAAAAAATAGTTCAGTTAACGAAAAGCTCAATTCAACTTCTGACACTGACATTGAATTGGGTCCTTGGCAGTGGTGTCCTGCTAAATTGCCAGTTCGTAACTCCCCAGAACACCAGACAGCCCTCACAGAGGTGTCTTACAAAACAGCACAACATTAAGTCAAAGTCGTATTGACTCTTCAAAGGACATAAAGGTCTTTAAAATAATAAATCAGCTGGTGGGGATAAACACAACAGAATCTAGAAGGGAATCACTCAGGGATTTAACACAGGCCAAGAACAGAGTGTTTTCCATTCCGTCTCACGGCTGAACACTCAAATAAAAAGCCTTTCTGTGGGTCACAAAAGAATTCATTAAAACTCACTGTTGCCCAGATCTGGTTGTTTCATATAGTGTCCTGCAATCAAATCCTGCCTGATTTGCAATTATAAATGGTTATATCTGAGCATGGCAGGGCCTAATCTGGCACTAACTCACTCTTACCCCTTCAGGGTAGAAGGGGAGGAACTGTTGCTTTCACTGGACAATCATCAGATCAAATTTCCCCCTGGCACTTACATGAAATGAAACCCTTCCCTTACTGGCCGAGGATTAAAGCATACATCACAGCCATCATTTTAAGGACTAGTTTGTACATATATATAAAGCTCATGGGAGTGAGGTTATTTAACATAATCTTTCTATGTGCAAACTCTACGACAGGCAGCACCTTTGGCAGCTAGTACATCCTCGCACGGGAATGAACTGTGGGTACACGTGGATGATTGCATGACGACTTATTATTGACTCGGCTGCATACATGCATCCTGAATGACAGCTATGTTTGCCTAGGGAGTGCCTACCTCTAAAACAAACATGAAATGATCCTATATTAACGCTTTTGTCTCTTCAATATATGAGACGGATTAGCGTAAATCTAAACTAATGGTTTCCGTGACGAAGTGTTCCCCTTCGAACCGGATGTATCAAATACTGTCATTGTCTTACGTCAATCCTAAACTTATACACTTTTATTGGGCATGTGTACTTGATGGGAGAGGTGAGGAAAGAAATACATTAGAAATGTTTGTATTCTTAACATCACCATGCAGAAGGAGGGTGGAAAGAGTACAAAAGGTAAATATCCCAAATATTATATGTGATTTTCCACTTGATTGAACTTGAGAGAGACTAAAATCAGACTGTCTATACAACAAACATTATTAGTTGAGTCGATGATTTCTTCATTAAGAGCTCTAACTGTTACCTTTCATTTCACCCTCTTATCCAAAACTGTGATTAAAGTGACAGATTTGTCCTGAAGATATATTCTGTCAGTTTTATAGTTGGATGCAGACCAAGTGGATAATTAGTCAGTGTATTGAATGTATTTTATGTCTTTGTTTGCTTTTTTCTGCAATCTTTTGTCCCCCTGTGTCTTTGTGAAGAAACCATGCAGCAGTTGCAGCTCCAGCTAATTGAATCAGACCGGCGTCTCGCCAGCTATGTGCAGAAGATCAACGCGATGCAGGCCGACTACCACAACCTGATAGGAATCACTGCTGAGCTGGTCGACTCTTTGGAGGCCACTGTCAGCGGAAAATTGGTAGTTCAGCTCGACTGTGGGGCCAACAAACACATTCTAACACCAGAGCTACCGGCACAAACTACACAGATGTAGACCCACACAGATCAACACACACACTAACAATAACGGGCTAATGAATGGCATACACACACAAACACTAGACAGATATTTTAATTTAGCTTTTTATCATATATGCACATGTAGTGTACAAGATAAAGTTTTTTACACACATTATATATTTACATGACAAATACAAGCTTGCTCTTCCTTCTTCTTTCCACAAAGCTCAAGGGACATGCTGTGTGTTTTCAGATCTCCCCCGACTACTTGCAGAATGTGTGTGTTCGTCTGTTCAACAACCAGATGAGGCAGAGCGTGGTCCAGAGCACTGACTTCACCAGACCCGGCACTGTGAGTGAGCGCATACAGCAGCCTTTTCCCTCCTCCCTCACTGGTAGAAACCAAACAATGTAAATAAGATGGACAAAGCGACTCCCCACTTCCTCCAGAAATAAGTCCCCCTGTTTTTATTGAATCAAATAATGACTCAAAACCAAACTTACTGGAAATATGAACACATGAATATACATCAGTGTGTTAGGAACTACCTCAAATGACAGAAACCGTAGTTGAGAAGGGATGAAGGAGGAGTTTATGACGTGTACTGCTGCCAGTCAAACAGTGCCGTCTGTCTTTATCTACAGTCTATTGCTAGAATTTAGGGCCTTGAGGTAGGACGGTTTCATCAAAAGCATCTGAAGGGAATCACATTCTTCCAGGAGCTGTGAAAGCTGCTCCAAGGGGCCGTACGTCACAGACACTTAGGTTGTGTTTGAAGAGGAATTGTAAAAGATGTTTTAAAAAGGAGTGTCTCGCTGTCATTAAGTTTGCCTTTGCCCTGAGTACATTGTGCAGCTGTGTTGTAATCCCGCCACGTAGTGATCCTGCAGTTTTTATTCTGGGTTAAGGAGCACCTGGTCGGAGGACCTGCTGGACCTGTCTAATGACATAAATCTGTGTGCAGGAAATTAACAATTCCAAACTCCAGTCTTTTGAAGTTCAACCATTTTTGAAAATTAACTTTAATTATAACGGTTAGAATGAAAATGATTCTTTTGGTCGATTGCAATCTGAAATCAACTGGTGGTCATATCGCAGATGAAAATATCTTTTCAATACTGTTAAAACTGTGGCTCTGTGACACAGATGCACAAAAAACTGAAATTAAACTCTCCACTCTGACACCTCGACAATCACACTTCCTGTCAGTGGCCGTCATTGTGCTGTTGAACTGTGGCTTGTGAAATTGTCTCTGATTTAAACTGAACAACTTCTTCCTGTGTGTGTTTGTGTGTGTGATGCTTTTTGTCCACAAAGGGATATTACTCTATGAGTCCCTATGATGATGGCTATGTAAGTTTCATATGTTTTCATCTTTACTCCCTGTCATCGCTCGGGTTCCCACCTCCTCTCCTTGTCTTCATGTCTGCCTCCCTCTTCCTGTACTGTACTTATACATTTCTTTGCCTGCTTTTTTATTCAGTCTGTATCCCCCACCATCTCCCTCTGGTCCTTACTACATATGTTGACCTAGTTTAAAGAGAGGTATACCTTTGTTGTGAAAATGACAGCTTTTGTTTGGTGCCCAGTTAAGCCAAACAAGAGCGCCACTTTAACGAGGTGCTCCGTCATGACATTCACTTGTTACAAAAGACCACAGTCATTGTCGTCTTTTTTAAGCTCAATGTTCTCAGGTTCAGTGTCCTCACCTCAGTGTTTGTTTAAAGGTTCAGTTTGTGTGAGAACTTGTTATGGAACAAGAATGGCCGACACAAGGTGATTTGATGTAAAGGCACTTCTCTCACGCTCAGGTTGTCAGGCAGGGTGGACTCAATTACAGTCATTTGAAAAGACAACCAGAACACTTCATAAAGTTGTGGTGGTTAATATCAGGCACTTGGGTTCAACATGTTAATTAGTATCTGACTGATTTATGGTCCGTGTCCTGTCTACTAACATTGAGGAGGAGGTGGGGCCACCAACCACCAGGTGGTTATTTTAGACACTTTGGCATCTGCCATTATGTTTGCCCAGATGAAAACTTTTCACCCGATTTAAATGCAGAAAACATGTGTTTAAATATTTACATTTCCCTTATTTAACTTCTGTTTGTTTGTAGTTACGTGTTTCTTTTGATTTATAGTTATTCATATATAATTTATGGTTAAACTGTATTTAAACAAGTCTCACTTACAGTTCTTTGTGATAAGGCTTTGAAAACATCTAAGGAACAATTGGCAAATTTTAAAAAAAAAAGTATAAATGTATTGAAAGTTTTTGCCTTTTAATATCGGTGATGATGATTTTTTACCAAAACCTTTTTAAAAATCCTCCTGAAATTGAAATGATTTAGGTTGTACATTTAAGAGCTTTTCTTGTTAAAAAGCACAGATAAAGAAAATAATTCTCTTTCCTCAATATGTATCTGTGATAAACTTAATGTGGATACCATTCTGAACCAGTGTCAGATATTTCAGGGAAACTCAGCTTAAATTTTTTGTAGAAGAAATCCAGATTTCAGTGTTCTTCCCTTCACTTCCATACTACCTGTTGCACAGCAAAGAAAAAATGTGTCCAGACCACATGAGACCTCAAGTGACATAGATCGCTCCCCTGACCTTTCACTGCTTCAGGTTGGGTTTCAGGCCTCAACATCAAATCCTGAGAAACAGTGGTAATTGGTTGTTTTTCACAGACACACACAAGTCGCCCACCCACCACAATACTATACTCGCCTGCATTTCCTTTTTTTCCTGAAACAACTACATACAGCTTTGTTAAAAAAGAAAGAATGACTGTTTTCCACTAACCCGTCCTCCGTGGTAGTTTTTATCTATCGAGTTATCTCCTTTTTGTCACTGACTGCATGGGCGATGTTGCCAAACAGTACGACACTGTGTGTCTGGGGATTCAGCATGTACCAAGAGCATGAACGCATGAAAAAATACTACAAATTACTCATTAGACCGTAGCTAGCTTGATTGTTTTAAATGGCAAACACAACTGGGTAAGTTGAGCTACCAGAGGGACATCATGATATAACATGGGTTTTATTTCCCATTGTTTATAGATCAAAGGTGATAAATGTAGTTTTAAATAATGAAATACTTTCTGCTCCTCATTGTCCTTTTTCTCCACTTTCTCCGTCACCCTCGCAGGCCTCCTCAATGCTTCGAGCGGCCATCGCTCCACAGTAAGTGTTCAAATTGATTAGGTTTTCTGTTGCATCCAGTTTCTTCATAAAACATGACTTACTTGTCTTTTTTTGTTACAAATGTCCAGGAGATCGAAGGAGGGGCCGATGCTCCCCTCTCTTGACTACGAGAAGCTGAAGAAAGACCTGGTTGAAGGTGCAGACAGACTCAGGTCTCTGCTGCTTCAGGCACTGCGCTGGGTGAGAATTCATAATCCTATTTGTCTTACTCCATGTGTCACATTTTACACTCATTCACCTTTTCTTTTATCACTAATACATTCAAACACTGATGGACAGATAACAATGTGACCTGAATCAGGTCCAGGAACTTATTTCATAACTTTATTAAAACATTGTTTGTTAGGGGTGTTTTAACATTTTCACAGTTTCCAAGGGAATAAATCATGGATCTTAATGAAAAACATTGGCCGTGTTTAGGGGGCTGATCTCTAAGTGTGCAACTTGATTGAATTGAAGGGGACTATTGGGCTGTGGCAGCGGGATGCACTGTAGTTTTATTTTCCTTTGCCATTTGATACTATTTTTGACTGGATTTACTCAAAGTTAACCAGGGTGGTTTCAAAACATTTCATTATCATACTATTTGTCAATCTACTATAGGTAGATTCATTAGAGCATTGTGGGAGAAGAATATAATAAATTAAGGTTTTGCTTTAGGTCAACACAAATACAGCGTTTAGTGAGAATGAAGGAGTCACAGTCAGTTTGCGAGTCCAGACTTGATTGTTGTGTCTGTTTCTCACGTTTTTTTCAGAGATTGACTCGCACACTCCCTGGTGAACAGAGAGACTCCGTGCTTCAGGCCTATATCAGCAATGATCTGCTGGAATGCTACAGCACTAAACAGGTGGGACCTAAAGCTTTTATTCTTATCACATTGTGTGGAGTTTTTCATATTCTTCATTGTAAGTGTACGTTTTTTTGTCTAATGACTACAAATCTATTTCTTTAGTACATCTCTCCTACAACTATATACAACAAACTTTATTTATGTAGCACTTTTCACTATTATGTTCATAAAATAGAGGGAAATAAAAAAGTTACATACAAAAACAAAACACTAAATATGTCAAACAAATTTTTTTATCAAAACATGTTTTAAGAATAGATTTCAAACAAATTAAGGATGTTGCCTGTCTGATTCCACAGTTTGGGTGCTGAGCAAAGGCCCAGGCATCTGTAGTCACCAGCCATGATCTGGGAATGCAACCACCAGAGCCAAATTACTTCTTGTCCACCAGCCACATTGTCTAATTAATCCCTAGGCTCTAATTTCATACCGATCTGAGCTGGTGAATAGGCATAATTTCTTGATGCTCACAACAAAACGCTACAACGTGTGGGTGACGAGCAAACTGGATATAGCATCTCAGGTATCACGCATATCCTTCTGGGATACTGTACAAGTTATACTGTATTTTATAACTTTAGACTTTTATGAATATGATTTAAAATAACTTAAAGATAGAATGGTAAAAACACCAACAGTGGCTGTCATGTGATCGTGGTGATTATCCTCCTATGATGGCAGGAACAAGCTCTTTCAAATCTTTTACAGAAATTTGTAAAATGTTTATTTCCTAGAAAATAAAATGTATTTGCTGAAAATGATTAACAGAGAACTGAACTCATCAGACATGGAACACAACCATCAATCGTGATCTGTGGCTTTCCAAGGGTTTACTCGACTTGAAATTTAATTCAATTTTTAGCTTATTGGAGATTTAAGTAAAATGTTCCCAGCCACAGATTGATATGCATTCTAAAGCGATTAGTCAAATTTACTTAAAGGCCCGAATAAGAAACATATTCTTATTTTCTCCCTCTCAAAAGATCTTCTTCTTCTTACACACTTTGTGTTTTTTCCCCTTTTCTTGCCATGTTCCCCTCACCTAGCCTTTCGCCGTGGGGCGTCATGTTCAAGATAATCCCTTTAACACAGAGTAAATGATCCTCACCTCACAGATGTTTTTTTTTACTCCAAGCCACCTCTGAATCATTTACTGCACAAACACAATAACAGTGGTCAGGCGTCACTGTCTTCAAATCACAACCCGAAATGTGTGTAATACATTGTCCTGAAGCATAAATTACTTTTGAGAAGAGAGTTTTCTTTGTAATGTTTTGATCAGAAAGGTGTGTGGGTGGATTCTTAATAAACTCATCGTTGTCAGGAAGCAAGTGTGAAACACTAAAAGTAGAGAATTTGATTCACAAATGTTCAGATGAGCAGATTTGTTTCATTACACACAAGTGTCACCAGTAAATGTGAACCATTAAGTCACAGCCTGATGAATGAGTCTCCCCTATTCTCAGCTCCCAAGAACCACCAAATTATTTCAGCCAGTTTTTTTGCTTCAGGGTGGGCCAACAGCAAAACAACAAACAAAAGCAACCTTAAGGCGAACAACCTAGATTCAAATGAAATAAACAAAACTCCTAACTCCTAGGTTTAAACTAAAATGCTACCCACCCCTACCTAACCGGGCTGGTACATCAAGCAACAGCGCTTAACACATTTCATAAGGAACAATTCCAGCAGCAGCGAGAGGAGAGACTGCAGGAGGTGGGGGAAGCCGTCCTCTTAACCTGCAAGCTTGGAGGCTGGAACCAATCAGCTCCCTGGAAACAAACCTACACACTCACAGTCAATCACCCACTCAGTCAGTCATTGAGCCAAACACACCTGCAACACATCACACACCAGCACCACAGCAGAGAGAGAGGGAGAGAGAGAGAGAGATCCGCAACACAGCCACAGCAGATTAAAGCACATACACTGATGCATTTCATACGACCTCAGGGTCGTGACAACAGCTATCAACTGTATTAAAGTGATTACCCAGTGATTTTGCTCTGTGTACCATATTATGTAGGGAGAACAAATAAAATGTCTGTCAGTATTTGCGTGGTTACAGATCTAAAACTTAAACCAAACCTTAAACAACTTCATGTTGGAAAAGAAGATTAACAGCAAAAATAATCAATTTATGTCACTAAGTGAACAGGGTGAATGTAATGTTTGTATCTAGTTTTCATCTTTATAAGAGTCTGTTTATTTGTTCGATTTTCATTTCTCTTTCACAATATTATAGGATGCAACTTAAATGGTGCCTCAATTCACCACCTAGCCACATACTCTATAATTACAATGACTGAATATATAAATATGTAATATATGTAATAGTTTCCACACAAAATACATACTGAGTCAGGTGAGTTTCATTTTCATTTCTGTGTAAAGAGACAAACTGCTTCACAAAAGGACAGTGAGGTGGTAAGACAACTAATGTATAATTGTTTCTATGTAATCACAGCTTTGCATTAGTCTGAATAATTTTCCACTTTCCAAGTGCCCCCCCATCTGTCATCTGTCTGCTATAATGTCCTTTTGTGGGGGGGGGGGCAGATAAACAAACAAATACATAAATCACTTTAATAAATAAATAGATTGGCATTCGTCAGCAGAAAGTTTGACATCATTGTCTTCAAAGTATAAACTGATTATGTCATTACCTTAAACTACCCCACATTCTGTGTCTCCATAGAAAACCGTGGTTCATTTATTGAGGTCGAAGAACGAGATTGTCCGGCAATACATGGCTCGTCTCATCAATGCATTCGCCTCCCTAGCAGAGGGTAAGTGCTCCGCTGCCATTCCATTTGGTTAAGCATCATTTTTTCTTTTGTAAGATGAGTCATTGTCTTAACTGGATCCATTGGAAGATGTATAGATTCATGGACTGACCTGGCTGACCTGGCTTTTATCATAAAACCACTAATGATTCTCTGTAAGTCAGTAACTGTGGAGGACATCTTGTAAAGAGACAATGTTGGAAAGACATATCATTTGTGCTGAGCCAGATAATTTTAGCTTCTTCAGCCATTAGTTAACATTTGTTCTCAACAATAAGGAAAAGTTGAAGTGGTTGAAATATCAGCTTTGGTTTATTTAGGGTGATAATTCTGGTGTGTTGTCGAGGGTCCAACCGATTTATCAGTTTGGCGATAAAAACATCCATTATGAGCCTTACAGAGACATATCAGTTTAATATGGAAACTTTGAATTTACAGAAATTATGCAGAACATGTGCATTCATATTTTTCTGAATTCAAGTTCGACCTATTTGGTTGTATTTGAAGTTATTAACGATAAGTTTATAGTTAAACTGACAAATATCAAGCATCAGCTACATGTCTTTGTCATCTTAACAATTTATGAATATGTTTACAGGCATCAGAAATGTTTTACTCCCTATTATTGGAATCAAAAGCCACACTTTATTGTTGTCCTCACCAGTGCCCCCCTCAACTGTACACATGAAATAAATGACCGGATGTATCTTTTCAGTGTTTTTTATGTGTTTTTTTAGAGTTTGATATTGTCTACTGAGGCATTAAATCGCATTGATTATAATCTCATGTTGTGTTTACAGGTCGGGTTTACCTCTCCCAAATCCCCATTCTTCTGAAACTTCAGATGGAGATTCTCAGGGAGGAGGAGAAAGACACCCTTACGAGAGAGAACGTGCTCGTTGCCCTGCAGAAGCTCAGCCTCAGGTACATTTTAATAAGACCAGTATAAAGTCTTGCAGTTTCCTTACATGGTAACCAGTCATCACCCTTAAACTAAACCAGTCAGGAGGCAGTCTTAATGACAAGCTAAGGTTATTCATATATTACTTCTTTTAAAATGTGATGACATCAGGAAACTCACATTCGAAAGTTTATTCTTGCTGTATTAAAATGAACAGTTCTTGTTCTGTTAATGAACACAAATATCTTTGTTTTAATTCATTTTAGTATATTGGACAAGATAGTGAATGTCCCTTGTACATAATCATTTCTTTGCAGGAGGAGCCAGCAGACGGCCATGATTGCAGACAATCTGATTAGCTGGCTAGTGGATGAGCTGCAGGACTCTGACTGCCTGACTGACAACAGCCTGGTGTACTCTGCAGCTCTGCTTATGAATCTGTGTCTGCGAACAAAAGGTGAAGACGAGACTCCAAACCCTACTGAGAAGTCTTCCTTCCAGTAATGTATCTTATATAACATTGATCTAAATTACAAACAGTTTAGCTTCACCCACTTTTAACAATTTCTCATTTAGGGTAATGCACACAAGGTGAGGTGCAGACTAATTAAAGGGGTACTTTGTTATTTGGGGACTGTCACTTGCATCTGAGTATTTTCCAATTAACCATAGGAGACTCTGGGAAATTGCTGGTCCTATCCAAGAAATAGACTGGCACAAAATTGAGATATAATATGTTCATGCTGGAAATTTGTATCGCCTTTTGACAGAGGCAGACTCCTGTTTCCCTTTGTTTCCAGTCGATAGGCTATGTTAAGCTAACTTAATCAACTTCTAGCTGTAGCCTAATATTAACCATCCCTGAGAGCAGTATCACCAGAAGGAGTGAATGTGTACAATTCGCACCACCTTAATCCAACGTACTATTCTTTATACAGTATTTGGATGACACTGCAGTTGTATAGCCAAAGTTTCATGAAGAGCATTTTAATAGTCCATGATGTTATATAAATCAATTGTAATGTCTTTTAAAGCACCATAATAGTCTTTCTATCTAACTTTAATCCTTTTAGATGATTTTGTTAAGGGCAGAGTAAAGGCCTTTATTGTTTTATGCTTGAATGCAAAGCAGAATTTTAGTGTTATTTTCTCTTAGTTCATATCTACATCTTGGTTCACATCCGCCGCCTGTACTACACATATGCAGTGAACAAAGATATACTCTGTTTGTCAGTGCTTCCTTTATTTTGTCTCTGTTGCCCCGGGGTCTGCTTTCTATAAAATGTCACAGTGAAGTAGTGCATATCATGTTTGAGTGGTTTTACTATTTTTACTCACGGAAAGAAAAAACTACTTGGCTGGAGGGATTCATTAATTATTAATCTGAGGGAAAGAAAATCCTTTGTTAAATCAAATATTATTGGACGAGCAAGAAAGACTTCTGGGTTGTTAAATTGAATCATGTGTGCATCTTTGTGTGTCTGTGTGAATGTGTGTTTGTGTTTTGGATGGCTGTGTTTGTACAGGAAAAAGGAAGTGTGCAGAGAACGCCAAGCATGTACTGAAGGTTCTAACCGACCTCCTCGGACACGAGAACCACGGGGTGATGCACACATCTGTCATTGTTTGCACACTGATGTGACAACCACCATGTGCACAACAGACACACACATTCACAGAGGGTGTAAAACATGGATACAACAAACATATTCATAAAAATACATATGCATTCACATATTGAGACAACAGAATCAATATTTGTACAGTATTCACAGAATACACACAAAAACATTAATGAATAGTATATTTGAATAGTATAAATCAGACACATCAAGATTGACTTATATATCAATAAATAACCTATATTTTATCAGATGTCGATTGCTGTTGCAACTTCACTATTTCTTTTTTCTCTTCCTATCTACTATGATTACTGTAGGTTTACGTTAGCATCCAGGACCTAAAAATATTGTATAAACATAGCTCCATCTTTTGTATCTATGTTTTGTCGTAGCTGCAATTACACAAGTTGTTACCACATGGCCTGAGACCATAAAGATAGATGTGCCTGTGTCACTTTGCCTTCCTCAGATTCAACCATATGTGAACGGAGCCCTGTACAGCATCCTGTGTATTCCCTCTGTGAGACAGGAAGCCAGAGAGATGGTGAGATAGCACAAATGTCTTCACCTGCATTGAGGAAACAGATGCAGTTTGTGTTTGGCTCTGCGTTTGTCTTCCCTCATGTCATCACACAGCCGGTGTTTGGAGGGGAAACAACAGGTGTTCACAGTCATGAGATACAGTCACCGTACACTGATACTGCTGGGTTTAACTCGTGTCAGTCAAAATGAAGTCACTTGCATGGTTTACATGCAAGCTGGAAGCTAACTAGAAAACCAGCCCTTGCATTTATTTGTGATGTGTTTCACTCGCGTGAGCAGAGTGTCGAGGAGATTCTACGCTGCTACAGCAAAGAGGAGAACCCAGACCTTAACAGACAGATTGAGTTCATCATCAAACAACTGAACTCAGGTGAGTGAAGTATATTATTATTTATATATAAATATATAAATAATATATTATGTATTAAAATGTACTCTACATGTGCCTTTTGGAATTGTATTCCAATGAGAATTAAATTTACTGTTGCTGTTTTTTGGAAATTCTACTGACTGGTCTCTGTTCCAACCAGCTGAGGAAGAGGGGCCAGAATCAGACGATGAAGAGGAAGAGGACGACAATGATGTAAGTCCACCTCTCAACCCATCAGACACTGATAAGCCGGTGCTTTACACCATCATAGCATATGTCCATTATTACATGATTCGGCACAACCATAGGAATATGTTTCCTATGAAGAATCAAAAGATTGAGGAACTGAGAAAATGAGGGTGAGAGGAATCACAACAAGAAAACAACACTTCGTATTTTGACACCTTTCTCAAACCTGTAGATGGCAATCTCAGCATGACACAGATATTGGGTGTCACCCACCTGTGTTTTTGTGTGTGTGTTGGGGTGATGATCCTAGCAGGTTAGGTGAGAATGTGGGTTATCAAGATAAGGTACATGGTAGTAAGCTAAAAGTGGAAATGGCTCTCAGGGTGTCCCAGTGGTATAGACCACAATGTTCTCTTGTTGGTACCTTGGGTCAGTGCAAAGCATTTTTGTGTTTAAACTGGTTTGTAGACTCACATCAATGTTATTACGAACAAGTTAATTTGAACCATTGTCGAGTAACCTTGTTGGTTAGAGCACCTCAGGGGCTTTAACATTTTGATTTAACAATAGGCGGAAACAAGGCAGAGGTCACTGTGTCGGCTGGGCTGATTTCTGTATTTGATTTTATACTGTCAACAAATCTAGATATAAAAAAAAAAATCTAAATGACTGACACTGCTCGTCCAAGATGTCTTTTGTGACCTTTATGTTTCATGTGTTCCCGACAAACACTGTATGTCCTCCACAAATCACATCATTGTAACTGCTTTATTATTCTATCCTGTGACAGGAAGATTTAATGGAGACAGATCTCGACAAAGAGGAAGTTCTCCAACCACAGCCCAGGGAACTGACTGGAGAGAGTCTGCTCACCACAGAGTACCTGGGAGTAAGAGATTATATATTTTCATATGTGTTCATATGCACTGTATGTACAGCTCAACTAAAGATGTCGTTGGTAGCTACGCAAACATGGTTCAACCCTCTACAGCATAAAGGAATTAAATCAGTAACTCACAACAGTTTCTTACTAAAGGCAGACAGACAAGACCGTGTACATAATTATTTTACAGTGAGAAAACCCCTGCATCACATAAACCATTGTGAATGATCCCTTTCCAATGACTCCCATTCACCCCTTCAGACCGCAGCATGTTAGAGAGGGAATTAATGGTGAGCTCCACTAATCACAGCTCTATTACACCTGAGGATTGTGGGTAGTGTAGTACGTCTTCTTGACATCGTATATAAATACATGAAACATATAAACTACTTGTGTCCAGCCCATGACATAGTGCTTTCTCACATGTGTCTACGTTACTTATCTTGTGTTTTATTGTGTAGATCATGACCAACATGGCTAAAGTGAAGAGGAAGTCCACCCCTCTGTCGCAGCCAAGTGCTGACGAACCCCTGCAACGGCCAGTCACACCGAGTTCTCATCGTAATGTCAACACCGTGTAAGTTAAATACACGCACAGTTCAAGTTAGGCTGCATCCACACCACCACGTTTTCATTGGAAAACTCATTAACTCTGCAGCTGAACTTGTTGTCTTTGTTAACAGCTGTTGCGCAGTTGAATTTTGTATTTTACAATGATACAACTGCTTACATGTGTACAACGGCATGTGCATGCCCAGTGTACATGAGTGGTCACGTCACATGCATTTTCAGGCTTGTTAGTGTGGACGGGGATTAAACGTTTGAGTGGACAGAGATCGTGTTTGAAAAAACATAGTAGTATGGATTTAGCTGTAGTCTTTACTCTCAAGCTGACATGTTGTGTTAAAGAGGTGATAGAGACAGGAAGTGTGATGGATAAGGTTTCACTTCTGGCTTCAAAGTGATTATACATATTATATTTGACAACACAAATCTATATTCAGATGAAGAAACCAGAGAGAGGCCTAATTTTTCTCGAGGCTTATCAAATTCCAACAGCACAAATAGGTCAGTCCAATGTAAAGGTCTTTTCTTTTCTTCTTTTTTTTTACAGTGATTGAGTTGCCTTTTTGTAAAGTCAAACTAGTGCAGTAGGTCACAGCGAGAATGTTTCCAAACACTTTTTTCAATTGATTTACCACAAAGCCTGATGGAATTGTTCAGGTGAAGGAGTGAGTCTGCAGGACAAGACAGGAACTGGGATTTCTTTGTATTGAAAGGCAGATCATTGTCAATGCCAAGTGTAAGTGTAGACAGCACGGATAAAAGAGAGAGTATTATTTTAGTGTAATGGATATGACAGCAATGAGGGATCAGTGTCCTACACATGACCTGGCCCACGAGATAAGACAACATCAACTCGCCGCCGGTAATTGATACACTGGTTTTATAAGCTGCTTGCAATATTTATCTTTATTGATTTTTATATATAAAACATTTAGGCGTTTTCAGACATGAACTGAAAATTGGATCCAGACATTTTTCAGAGTTTTCCTTTATTATACATAGAAGGCAGCATGAGATTGCCCGGGTCAGACACGTTCACAACAACATAGAAATGTCCAGAACATGGCAGATAAATTCTCCTGCGGAAATCACGTTTTTGTTTACAGCTCATTAACACCCCCTCTCCTGAATATTTCAGTCAAATGTCCAGAGATGAAATTCCTCAGTTCAGTCGTTTATTATCCCAGGTTGGAAACTTGGTTTGCAGTCAGATGCACCAGATAGAGACAACAACACAGTGCATTGAAAATAATTACACCTACTCGAATACGACAGTACAGATATGCAGAGGTCTCCTATAACATACTTAAATAAAAAAGTGCAGCATCACAGCACCACGATCCACAGTTATGCTAATTAATTATGCTAAAATAATGTGCAAATTGAGTTATTGCACATGGAAAATGAAAGGTCTTACAGAACCTGAGTCATATTGTTTGTGTGTCATGTGTAGTGATTATCGGGCTGGTAGTCAGGGCTGTGAGGTCAGCAGGGACAGTGATTACCCTCTGAGTCTACAGAAGAGCGAGGAAGGAAGTCTGCCTCCCTCCAGATACAACTCCAGACCTCCTACACGCTCCGGCAGTCGCCCGAGCACTTCTGACTCCCTACGTCACAGCATCGGTGGGTAGATCTGGCTCTGTCTCTGCATCGTGTTCTTCCTCATATGGTTTTTAACATTAAAAAGAAGCTGGATTTCAAAAAAGGGTTAAACAATGCAGCTCTGACCGTGTCTAATACTTGTGGCTGTTCATCAAATGTTCTCAGTCAGATTTCTCGTATTTCCTACATCATGCATTGAAAATCATTTGAGGGTCAATTTAATTTCCCTTCCACCTGTTGCTCTTTATTTAGTTTGTATTGGATTTATTTGATGTGATGCCAAGAGTCTATGAGGAACAGAAGGCAACTTCCTCCGAGAGCAGAAGGGATAAAGACTCAGCAAAATGGCTTTCCATAAAACAAACGTCAGCGTAGCATCAGGTTTTTTGCTGATGTGTGAAGTGTGTAACAGCCAATTTGGTATCGATCCAAAATGAGTGTGACCACGTTCTAATATTTCCCCGCTCTCACTTGCAAAAACACAAACACTCAGACTCAGAGTGTGGCCGGTTGTCCCAGGAGTCAGAGCTGGACGGACTTTATGAAGGACAAGCCACAAAAGGACGCTCCCGGGAGGAACGCAATGGAGACCTTGCCAGGTAAACTGACACACAAAGGTTAACTAAACACACATACATAATGAGACTGTTTGTGTGGTAATGGCTGGAACAGTCTTGATGTTCTCCGCAAGAGGCTATATTTGATTATAATGTTTTAAAATAGTCTGACACTGTCGTCCAATGGTTTCCCATCACAGGCCTCCTGCTTCACTGCTCAGAAAACATCCACACTTTGAATATTAAGAGCAAGAAGCATTGTCATGGACGTCGTAATGGGCATCAGCTCAGGGACTGATGCAAATCAAAAAACAAACAACATATCTCAGCCGAGGCTCCCGTAAAACCCTGAGGTGTGTGCCTGTGTGTGCCTGTGTGTGTGTGTGTGTGTGTGTGTGTGT